AATCCCTCAAGGACCTCACTCTAGACCCTTTCTCTCTACTTTATTCATCAATGACATTGGAAATTTTATTCTTAGGGTATCAGTGAAAATCTTTCAAATTTGATGCAGAATTATCTGTCACACCCTACTCAAAGTATCAAAATAAACAGTTTGACTTCCAAAACAGATATGGAATCCCTCAAGGACCTCATTCTAGACCCCTTCTCTCTATTTTATTCATCAATGACATTGGAAATTTTATTCTTAGGGTATCAGTGAAAATCTTTCAAATTTCATTCAGAACCATCTGTCAAACCCTACTTAAAGTATCAAAATAAGTAGTTTGACTTCCAAAACAGATATGGAATCCCTCGAGGACCTCACTCTAGACCCTTTCTCTCTACTTTATTCATCAATGACATTGGAAATTTTATTCTTAGCGTATCAGTGGAAATCTTTTAAATTTCATTCAGAACTCTATCAAACCCTACTCAAAGTAATAACCAATCACCAGAAATGCAACACTCGCCCCCAAGGACGTTTCACCAAACAAGTTGACGTCTTCAAGAAATAAAATTTTTTCAGTTGTTCGATCAGATGTAATAGGGCTTCAATTAGGTACTTAATTGCCTGAAGAATGTGAATTGATGATGGATATCAATTGTATATAAATAATGATTGAACAAGATAATCAGTTTTCTTCATGAAGGGGCAATTGGGTAGCTGGATAAATTTTTCCTTGAGAAAAAACATTTTTTCCAACGTTTTGAATTCAACTGAATTCTTCTTCAGGGCTAGAAAATAAGTTTCTTCATGTTGAAAATCTATTCATTTTAAAAACATCTTTCGAACCCTGAAAAATGTATTTGAATTCGAAACGTTGGTAAAAAACAATTGTCTTTTTACCCTTCTTGAAAAAAATCATTGAATTTTTTATATTTTACTATTAGCATATGAGAAACCACTGCTATATATCACCCACCTTATTTTTATCAATCAATTCCTGTTGCAAGTGCCTTAGATGGCGTTTTCGAAAGGGGAGATGTCACCGTCCTCACTTCCTCGGGCTTGTCCTTCAAGGACAGTTGAGTCGAGTCGAAACAACGCCATCTGGTGTTGAAACATAAATGCGTTGGGTTTGGGCTGCGACTTCCAGCTAGTTGCCTTGCAGTGATAGAGTACAAATATCGTCGCCGGTCGATGATGAGGCTAGGCTTTGAGGAGCTGTGATATTCGAGGATTGAGTTCTATATCTATCCAATAGATGGCGTTATCGAAAGGGGAGATGTCACCGTCCTCACTTCCTCGGGCTTGTCCTTTAAGGACAGTTGAGTCGAGTCGAAACAACGCCATCTGGTGTTGAAACATAAAAGCGTTGTGTTTGGGCTGCGATTTCCAACTAGTTGCCTTGCAGTGATAGAGTACAAATATCGTCGCCGGTCGATGATGAGGNTTGTCCTTTAAGGACAGTTGAGTCGAGTCGAAACAACGCCATCTGGTGTTGAAACATAAAAGCGTTGTGTTTGGGCTGCGATTTCCAACTAGTTGCCTTGCAGTGATAGAGTACAAATATCGTCGCCGGTCGATGATGAGGCTAGGCTTTGAGGAGCTGTGATATTCGAGGATTGAGTTCTTTATCTATCCCATAGATGGCGTTTTTGTAAGGGAAGATGCCCCTCCAGTTTTTATCAAAATCATTAACAACTCAGTCTTGAGCTGTGTGTGTGTTAACAAAGTCACCCTTAAGTCAACCCCAAACACCGTTAGTTTTCTGTTGAGAAATTTTGTTTAAGCCTCTACTGGAGCTCAACTTAAAGCTTCAGTCCAGAATACCATCGTGAACCGTTAGAAAAGGGATGAATTTGCAGAGAAAGATTAAATGTTTCATTGTCGAAATGCCTAGTCCTAACCTTTAGAAGTTTGTCGGCAATTTCATGAATAATATTTCAAAGATTTCCATGAAAAAAAAAGATATGTAGATATATTGAGTCTTTCATTTCAACTTCCACTGGTATTGCGGCACTGCCCCCTTCATCTGTACACCCTTCGCTACCCACCACCAACAAATCACTCACCTGGAATGGAGATGCTGCAACTGCAATTGGAAATTATCCACCTGTTCCTGCAGTTCGTCGTTTGTCCTCTGGAGCTTCCTGATGTTATTACCGGCCGTATCTAACTCGTCTTCTGCGACGGCCAAATCTCGCTTGAGTTCTTCGACTCTGCCCCGAAGTTTCTTCACTTCAGTTTCGTATTGCTCCGCCCTCCTTACGGCGTGCGCTAATTCCGTCATTTTGTCCTGTACCATTTTCTTCATTTTGATTTGGGAATGTTTCAGTTCGGATATTTCCTAAAATTCATCGAGAACAAGTTAGACACTGTATATGCTTTTCAAAGAACAGTTCATACCAAAGAAAAATTAAGGAGTACCTGGAACATTTGATGAAGTTAATGACTTCCTGCTGATTTCTTTACTCCATTCTCATGGTATCAGTGGAATTTTATTCAGGGTGTCAGAATGTCAAAATTAGTACTTTCATTTCCAAAACATACGGAATTCCTCAAGGATCTCGCTCTAGACCCTTTCCCTCTACTTTATTCATTGAGGTTACTGACAATTCCATTCTTATGGTATCAGTTGGAATCTCTTAAGTTTGATTCAGAATTTTCCGTCAAACCGTACTCAAAGTATCGAAATTAGTTGTTTGACTTCCAAAACAGATATGGAATCCCTCAAGGACCTCACTCTGGACCCTTTCTCTCTATTTTATTCATCAATGATATTGACAATTTTATTCTTAGGGTATCAGTGGAAATCTTTGAAATTTGATGCAGAATTATCTGTCAAACCCTACTCAAAGTATCAAAATAAGTAGTTTAACTTCCAAAACAGATATGGAATCCCTCAAGGACCTCACTCTAGACCCTTTCTCTCTACTTTATTCATCAATGACATTGGAAATTTTATTCTTAGGGTATCAGTGAAAATCTTTCAAATTTGATGCAGAATTATCTGTCAAACCCTACTCAAAGTATCAAAATAAGTAGTTTGACTTCCAAAACAGATATGGAATCCCTCAAGGACCTCACTCTAGACCCTTTCTCTCTACTTTATTCATCAATGACATTGGAAATTTTATTCTTAGAGTATCAGTGAAAATTTTTCAAATTTCATTCATAACCATCTGTCAAACCCTACTCAAAGTATCAAAATTAGCAGTTTAACTTCCAAAACAGATATGAAATCCCTCAAGGACCTCACTCTAGACCCTTTCTCTCTACTTTATTCATCAATGACATTGACAATTTTATTCTTAGGGTATCAGTGAAAATCTTTCAAATTTCATTCAAAACTATCTGTCAAACCCTACTCAAAGTATCAAAATAAGTAGTTTGACTTCCAAATTACATATGGAATCCCTCAAGGACCCCACTTTAGACCCTTTCTCTCTACTTCCTTCATCAATGATACTGACAGTTCAATCTTTTAAATTTCATTGAGAACTCTATCAAACCCTACTCAAAGTTCCAACCAATCACCAGAAATGCAAAAAATCATTGAATGTTTTATATTTTACTATTAGCATATGAGAAACCACTGCTTTATATCACCCACCTTATTTTTATCAATCAATTCCTGTTGCAAGTGCCTTATTTCAGCATCTGAGTTCGTTACAGGACGACCCCTGCGTTCCATCCTCTCCTGCATATCTCGCAATTCACTTCTCAATTTCTTGTTGTCTCTCTCCATCGCTAGCTTTTCAGTTTCTAATCTCTCGCGTTTTCCCCACTCCGCAGCGTTTTCTGCTTGTAACCTTTCTAACTGTTTGATTGAAAAAAAAATTAAAACTTTTATCGAACTTTGATTGGATTGAGTTTGATATCCGAAGAAACATCGAATATGATTAGGGGCAATAGAAAATACAATACAAATAATAATAAAAAAATTACTGTTTGTTCTGTAAGCCACGTCCAAGCATTCGACTTTAATCTCGAAATTTGAAAACATTAAAGTTGAAATCGAAATTTTGACTGTTAACTTGAAAATACAACTTCAATTTCAACCTTATTCCAGAAATTACGATCTTTGACTGAAAATTTCGACTTCAATCTTGAAATTTCGACTTTGTACTCAAAATATTGACTGTAAACTCGAAATTTCGATTGTAAACTCAAAATTAAGACTTCAATTTTGACTTCAAACTAGATATTACGACCTTTAATTTGAAATTTCGACTTCAATTACAAAATTTCAACTCTATACTCAAAACTTCGAGTTTCATCTCAAAATTTTGACTGTTAAGTAGAAGTTACTACTTCAATTTCGACTTTAAACTAGAAATTACGACCTTAAACTCAAAATTTCAACTTCAATCACAAAATTTCGACTTTCATCTCGAAATTTTGAATGTTAACTCGAAATTTCAACTTCCATTTCGAATTTAAAATCAAAATTTCGAATTTATTTAGAAATTTAGAGGTTAAAGCCATCATATCGAGATTAAAGTTGAATAGAAACCTCACATGACATAAATTTCTATCAATGGTTCTCACAGAAGACTGTCATATAATAAATATCTGAAATACACGACGTTACATTGAAAAACCTATGATTGTAATCAATGATCAAAACGCTAATAGGTGAGATTTGAACCTACCTCAGCTCTCAAGTCATTCATCCTCTTATCCATACTTTCCCTGGAATTTGCTTCTTCCTGAAGATCAGCTTTGATTGACTGAAGCTCTTTCTGATGTTCGTCCTGGAGCATCAGAATATCCCGCATGGTATCCTGCCTTGATTCCCTGAGTTCGTCACACTTATCTCTCGCTTCCTGAAGTTCGCTGGTCAGTCTCTCTATATTTCGGTGGAGTTGACTTTTTTCACTATGAAATTAAACATAGTTTCCAATACATTTCATAGTTCATGAAATTCAATTACAAAAAGACATATTTTCACTTTCACTTCATAATCATTACATTTGTTCGATTTCGGTTCATTCACGCACACTCTATAGTTTATTCATCCCCTTTTTTTTAATTTGAGAAGTTTCAAAATAGTTTATGAATGAACTCCTGTAAAATTATTAATCATTCATCAAATTGAAGGACATATGAAACAAATTGATATATTATATGAAGCCCTAATTACAAGAATTTAGTAAGTATGAAGACACCTGATGAAGCTATTATATAGCAAAACTGACGTTGTGGTTTTGTCAACGGATCAAAATGTTTTCATTATGTCCTGATTATCTCTGACATTCGGCCAGATGGAAGCTTGGTTATCCAGATTCACTCCTTCAATTGAATTAACAGATATGTGAACACAGCATTCATTCCTACTAAAAAATTATGAGCATTCAATGTAGCTGAAAATTTCACTGTACCTATCACAGTGAAACATATTTGTAGGGATATTCAGTACCCGCGATATCAAAGTGACTCCTGTGCCCCCATGCCCCCTCCTGGGTTGAGTGCCCTGAAGTAGAAGCTTCCCCCCCCCCAGCTATTTAGCGAGGAGAACCTACTACCCCACTCCACCCCCGCTCTCCGAGCGGTCCTCAACTCACTGATGAGCACTTCAGCAAGATTAACATCTGACCTCTTTTGGTCGAAAGTCAGCCTTTAGGTGCTATTCTTTCATTCCTGTGAGTGGGTGGCCCCTCTTTTATATGTTCTTCCAAAAAGTGAGGGAGGGAGAGATACTACACAAGCGCCCTCAAACTCACTTCGACAGAGGCATATAATATTGTAGAAGGTCACTCAAAGTCAAACTAAAAACCCACTCCAAAATAGCCGCGTGAATCAATGAAGGTCGTTCAAGGTCGAACCCAAAATACTTCCTCAAAGTCACCTTGGCTACGTCGTGTGACGTAGATCAAGGTCGTTCAAAGTCAAACTAAAAACAAAGTCAAACTAAAAACAGTTGCTCAAAGACTTCTTGGCTATGTCGTGTGACGTATGTGGCGGTAATTTCAAGGATAAAAGTGGTGGGGGAAGTTTTTGAATCGGCCTGAACCAACTACTACTCTCTAGTCCTTAGCTCTTACAAGTTTCGACTTTTGAGGGTTGCTGTTCATATGTAGACGTAGCTGGTTAACAAAAAATCCCATTTATATGACAAATACTCATTAAATGAAACCATTTTCAATCACAGGCTACAAAGTTAGGTTCGTAACTAGGAAAGCCCCGAATGACAATAAATAAAAGTACTTTAAGCAAATCACTTACTCTCTCTCCACTTGCAATGTCTTGGTAGCTTCCTCCAGCCTGAGCTGAAGCATGGACAACTTCTGCAAAACATACTCCTCCTCATAATCAACTCTGTCGCATGCTTTCTCCGATGTAGTGGCTTTTTCGCCAGTACTACCTTCATCCCTTTTGTCTCCATCTTTGAAAAACCTCGGCACAGCGCCCTGTAAAACATACTCTTCAATGACGGAACAATCTGAATCCTGAACGGCTGTACTATCACATTCTGGATTGGAATGCGAAGAAGATACTCCGTTCTCTCTTTCTCCCACCGGAGAGCTCATACTGAAACCAAATTCTTTCAAGGGATCCTCCCCTAAGGCCTCTAGGATTTGCGAATCGAACTGTTCGGCGTGCTTCAGCAGTAGTATGTGGATCCTTTCCATTTCCTTTTTCAGCTGGTCATTCTGGGTCTCCAGTTCTTCCTTTTCTCTCTTGCTGGTGTTGGTCTCCTTCAACACAGTTTCCAGTTTAGTGCGCAGTTGTTTGCTTTCTTCTCTGGCCTTGTTGCGTTCGTTTCGCACTTTGCTCCACTTTTCTCTCCAGTTCGCTGTGCAGTCCGACCACCAACGCATGGTTTTCTCCATTTGTGCAGCTCTGCCCTTGGCTTCCTCCAATTCTCTCTGTCGTAAAGCCTATAAACAGCAGATAATATGGGAATGTTTAATAAAATACGCTTTAAGATGGCTGAAATACCTCAAAATGTTTAACAATGATTGTTCTAAAAGGCAAAATAATGTAAGCATTTTTTCCCAATCAGCAGGACATAAGTTTCACCAACCAAGTTGACGTCTTCAGAAGATGAAGACTCCAACTTCAGGCATGCCAACTCAGGAATGGCAACATTCTTGAGTATTTTCACCAGGATTTTTTAATCTCGCAATGGTTATGGAGGAGGGTTTCTTGAAATTCAAAATCGGTCACTACTTGACATCATATGTAGGTATCTCATTTTGTTGTCTGCAAAAGTAATCCACTGACAACCTAAATCATCAATTGAATTATTTATCAAGGACAGAAGTGGTCCTAGACAAATACATCTAGAGTTTAAAAACTGAGGTTTCGCTAAAAACATAAAACATCAATTCAAGAAGTGACACAATTTTGTTCGAGATTTTATTAAGTTATTGGACCTACTAACATTAACCATCTAAAATTTACCACTATGAATTTAATGATTTCTATATACACCAATGATGAAATCTTTTACAATGGAGTTTCAGAACCACATTGTAACTTTTAGAGAAATCTGAGTGTGAATTTCAATAGGCAACATATTTTCAAAAACAACAGGGACATAAGGATGCCAAAATTCAAAAATTGCAATTACAGTTAAAGTGTAGCTGTAATTTACCTCATTTGCCTCCCACTCAGAGATATCTGCAACTCTGGAAGAAGTAATTGATGCTGTGTCTTGGTCTCTGGCATGACGACGTGACGAAGTTCCACCACTAATACTCTGTGCCATTTTTGCCTAGTTTTTAATTCATAATTTCCTACACAAATGATTCATTCACCGCACTTCTGAAAAGGATGGAATAACTGGAAAATCCTGAATTTCAAATAAAATTGAAACCAAAATAGGAATAACCTTCACAAATGACAGCTGTCAAAAAGATGTCATGTCGGAGCGTGAAGGTCAAAAGCACAGAATAGTTATTGTTCTGTGTCAAAAGTAAAACATTAGAAAGTGATTCTATGATCACAGAACTTCCAAGGGGTTAAATTGTGGCAGTGGGTTTATTAGCAATATTTAATGCGAATTTCAAGTCATCCAACTCGCACTGGAGTATTTTAGTGAAATAAAGTACTTACATGGCTTAGAATAATCCATCAGAGAGATAACTACCGAAGTGTTTGTGCTAAAACCACAAGAGTTTCAAAACAGTGAAATCTGAGTATTTCGAAATATTACCGACCACCAATAAAAGGAAGCTAACAGCGAATAGCTGATCGGATTGAATGAATATTACAAATATGTTATGTTTATTGTTTTGTGGTTTTTTCTGTTTTGAGCTATTCAATTGTGAATTTGTAAGGGGTAATGTTTTTTAAGTGCGTTTATTGTAGACATAAGGAGCTGATGGATGAGTAAAATAAATCATCAACCCTCACGGGAAGCACAAGAAACCACGACAATATATGAAAACAGCTGACGGGAATTTGGTTTTGATTTACCATCTAGCTTAGTTTCAATAAGTCTGGTAGATGTCGCAGCTGGACGATGTACTTTTCAATGGGCAACCTATAATTAACGACTGCGCATGTGAAACATTATATAACTCGGCGTATTTCGTTTTTTGATGCGGTATTCAAATAGCTATTTGTAAAATACACATTTAGAATATCTTATGTGACTAGGAGAATATTTTAGGATAATGTTTTAGGGTCCAAAAGCACTGTGTGACCAATAACGAGTGAATTAATTACAGAATGAGCATTATTCATCAGCAAACAAGATAAGAAAGCCTAACTCAACCAAGTATTTATCTACATTTTGAGAATGATTAACACAATACATAACTGCCAGTAATTCTATTGGAAAGTGAACGGCATTAACATGATTCAACGTGTTTTTCAGATCTACAGAAGTAAAGATGCGCTTTTCTATTGGTCATATAATAAAATGTTCGAACAAAATTGTTAATATAATAAACCAATAAACCACTCGTAAAACTTCGACAATCAAATCTACTCATATTCGTAGTTTCTACAATAAAAATGTTTCTGTCTACTTTGCATCCCAGTCATAATTACAAACAAGTTGTTTGCTAGCGACAAACAAATTGCAATTAATTCACCTTGAACTTGTACAGACACCTAATCACAACTTAATGAGTTCTCATTATAATTAATTAAATGACCATAATCAAAGCAGGTACACAAAGTGTGTTACTTTTGAAGCAGGGTAAATATGTTTTTCTTTGGTTCTATATTGCGTTAATACAAACCGTGAAAATAATTGTGTTCAATGTATCATCAATTATTTCCTACCAAAAACCTGAAATCACACAGAATTTCTCAATATTCACACTCAGGGAAAGGTATCTGTGGTGTAGAAAAAATAAACTGAACACAAATATCACTTCCTCAGAACTGCATCAACTTCAATTTAGCTCGTCTCCCGATAACACCAACTTGGGTCGTTCAAAGCGCATCAAGAAGAGTGTTGCAGTTCGATGGCAGTGTTTGTGTTGGAACACCTTACCATATTTCGTTGAAGAAGACAAATTTTCAAAGAAAAAGTTGATGTAGCAACTGCCCCTGTAGATGATAGGTAGATAAATTTTTCCAATTCTGAAATGCGTACCTACATTAATTATGTAGGATTGTAGGAGTTCTATTTGCAAATGACTTCGGTATATAGATAAGCATAATCGTCTAAGGAATGGTGCCTGTCAGTCGAGTCAGCGGCGTACGAAAGTGCTAGAAAGTATTACAGGGGTTGATGAAAAAAAAAGTATGCATCAAAGGTGTTGACAAGTGAAATATTTTGTCGTAGGTCACACAAATAATTAGTTTTCAGATATATAGAAAACTTATAACACATAATTTCCACGTATTGAACATTTTTTGGGTAGAAAATCAGAGGCTTCAACGACCTTTTTTAGAGATTTTCATCTGTCACAATCTGAGAAAACTTGTGAAGAAAGACTTTATCGGGGTGTACCTACTTTTAGTACATCCCGATATATGAGAGGAAACATCTTCAGTATTATAAAGTGGATTCACAAGAAGTGATTTTTTTAAATAGTGTTTCAATTTTAGTGAAGTTAATGTTTTCCAATCCACCGGTAAAAGGTTATGTAGTTTAATTGGCAGATAGTCAGTCTGTTTCAATGGTTTAGTGTAGTTCACTAGAGGTAGATACAATTCTTTGGTGCGCCGCAAGTGTTAAAATTTGCGATGAACAATGGTTTGGCATGTTCCCTTGGTCCAGCCTTAGTCATAGTTCTAACACATTTTTTTTATTTATTAATAACTGGTAGCACGCTGAGTATGTGCCCTATAATAAAACCCCATAAATCAAGTAGCAGTGAACCATACCGTTATATATAGTTTTCAGCACACTTCAACTTATAATATTTCTCTGAGACTTCTAAATAAAAATTGACTTTTGAACAACTTTTTCTGCAATTCCTGAATGTGTTCTTTACAGTTCCAGTTGGAATCTATGTGAAATCCTAAAATTTTGACTGATGAATCATTTGCTGTATTTTGTAAGAAAGTTATTTCTTTAGTTTTGTTTTTATTCAAGAATAAAATATTTGCTTCAACTCGTGATAGTGTGTCACCTGACATTCCAACTATCTCTTCTAAATTCCTGCTTCTGATTAACAAAGTTGAGTCATCTGCGTACATAAATACATCCGTGATATCTAAGAAGGTTGGCAAATCATTCATATAGATTATAAACAACAGTGGCCCCAGGACTGAACCCTGATGTATACCATGTTTGATTTGTATGGTATTGTTATGAAAGCCTACATTCCTATACTATTAATATTATCATTGAAGAATTGAATCGAACCCGATTTGTTCGATGTTGTCCTAGTAGCAGGACAGACAATCATTGATGTAAATGACCGGAAACAAGTTGAACGTTGCCCCCCTAGTCATGCCACTGGAAGCCATCGCACAGGTAGCTTCTTACCTGGTTAACTGTAAATACGAGTATACAACGTGTACGTGGATGTTTCAAACTTCTTGACTCAGTCAGTGCGATCGAACGTTCAATGAACTTGACGAAATTATGGTTAGATGAGGACATATCCAGGGTGCCGTGAAATAATTGAAAGAAAATGTGAAAATCTAGAAAAACCGCGAGTTTTATCAATTAAGTTTTGATGAAATAAAGATAAGACTGTTGTCAACAAGTACGTGTACTTCGGGGATATGAATATGAAAAGAAATGGTACTGTCGCGGGTACTGATAAGAAAAAAAGTGTTTTGTGGGCCTACGTGTATTGGTTCTTCGGGGGAATTTTCGGGCTGCACCTCTTTTATTTGGAAAGGGATGCGCATGCTTTCCTTACTTGGAGTACTTTGGGGGGATATGGATTGGGGTGGCTGGCAGATATCACCAATTATAGAAATTATGCAATTATTGCACCGGTGTAGTTTAAAGTTGTAAAGTTATCGTGAAACGAATATCAAGTTTAAGGTTTTTTATTTCCGTCGTTACTTCTGAAGGAAAACTCCGATTCGAATAACTCAAAGCAGAATTTACTTGTTCATAATCAATTTTTTTACTGAAACTATTCGTTCTGTTTCAATTATGTGACTATTTCTTGTTGTCTGAGTAGGCAAAATTATCCAATAACTCACTACATTCGAAACCAATCACAGATGAGCAAATTCATATCAAATTCATATAAGTGAGTCTTGAAAATTTCCTTCTTTGAAATGACGTATTCAAAAAACACACTGTGATGTAAACTGTTCACTGGAAAGTATACAAAGCCCCTATACAATAGCATGTTTGAGTGTATTGCGACGTATTGTGACGCCTGAAGATGCTATGATATAGCGAAACACGTGTCGCGCTTTTCTAAACCTTCAAATGGAAATCTTACATGAAAGAATGTTTTTTGAATACTTTATAACGTATTTTCCTCAAGTATCGGTCAGTTCCATCATATTTCCTTCGCAATATGTTCTCGAACGTTAAAATTAATCAATGAACCGATCCAGGGTTACTCGTCATCTCCTACAGATGCGTCAAACAAATATGAATATCTCCAAATCTGAATCTGAATTTTCTCAAATGTCTTGTTTTGATTGCAGCCGCCATTTTCATCCAGCAGATTCATATCTGCTATCATGGTTGGATATCTGTGGGGCCAACTGGTTATGCTAGCTATTCCTGAAGATGAATTTGGAGGAATCAACTGGAACTACATGTTACATTGGTTTATACCATTAGCAGTTGGTCTAGGTAAGAAGAATTCAGCAGAATCTGAAAGATAGTTGCGTAGGTAAAATTGAAATCTATGAAAAACACTTGCCCACACCAGAATAATAGCACTGAGCTTTGATGGGCTTTTTTCTAACCACTTTAGCATCATCAGGTGACTGAAACTAGATCTCACAGCTTTTCAGAGCTTTTATATACGTCTAGACGGAGCTAAAGATGGTTGGTTCATCTCCTGGTAATGTTAGCAAAACTTTCATCAAGAGTCAGCAGTTTGTTGTTCTGGTGTGGGATGTGAACGTGTTTTCCCATCCCACATGAGATATTTGCATTCGTTTATATTTCATCTTCGTTTCAAAATCTCCATTATTGTTTTCAGGAGTCTGGATTGTCGGTAACATAGGTCGAGAACAAGGCAAACCGTGGATAGCAATTGGAACTTCTTACATCACATACGCTTCTCGATGGTACTTCTTTGATGAGAGCATTTGGCTTACTCTCATGGTGTTCTCTGCTGGACTAGCATTCGACACGTTTTCCAAGCAGTGGAGGCAAAAACCGAGAGAAAAAAAGTTGGTAATCCAAAAATTTCAACCTTCAGTAGAAACCTCGCTGTTGCGAGTTTCAACAAACCAAGTTTTTGCGCTATTCCATCTTCATGTGAATTTTGTTCCACAGGTCCTTCGTGAGAAGAATGATTGTGCTGATTCTTTGTGCTATGTTATATTGCGGTTTGTGGAGTTCATATTTCTACTTCAATGGCAAAATAACTGATTCAAATGGTGACGAAATCCCAGTAAACGAAGCTATCCATCATTTCTTCACGTCTCCTTGGTGGACCGATTTGAAGCAGTCGCTGTATGATATATATATTTATGCGCAGCACCACGGATGGTGAGTATGATAGCCCATAGTTTTTACAGTCATGATGAGGTGTTTGTATCCCTTTGTTACCGTGTCTGCAACTGATGTTTCCTATATACATATCCCCATTTGGTTCTCCCTCTGAATCGATAGATTTCAGTTTTTATTCTGAGTTGATCTCTGCTCTGTTGCAACGGTCCCTCTATAATTTTTCCTCGGGTATATTTTACGTTTCTTATTGAGTCATTTCCGGGTTCCTGATTCGATACCAAAGTTGATTTTCTGTCGCTAGCACACATCTTTTTCATTGTCGCTGATGCCTGAGTGTCCTACCACTCAGCATACGGTCGTTCAAATCTTCACAACATTTCCAGGCCCATCTCGACGTCAATCTAGGTTGTCGGCAGTATATTCCAGCTTGCCTTCTCTTCTCGGTTTTTGGCCTGTTTGAATGCCAGATGTTTCTACCAAGCATGTCCGCAAAATTCGCCTCAGTATCGCATGGTCTATGATCATGTTTAACATGTTCGTTCTTTTACATAAATCAGTATTTCTATTCTACCGAATCCCTTGTAGCTCAATGATCTTTAAAGTGTCACCCTTGTTACCGGCGTTAATAGTAAAAGAGACTCTCTCTAGTGATGTTGTAGTCGTTCATGCTCTTGATAACGATCGCTTGTTTCATATTTTAGCCACCCAACTAAAGATACACATATTCCACCGAACTCACTCCCAGATATTGTAGTTCTTCAATTCGAAGTTTCGGAAGTGCTATATAGACCTTTGCTACTGTGGTCAATTTGGTCAATAAATTGTATTTTGTAGGTACGAAATTTGGAAACAAGTCATCGATCTTTCTGATCCACAAGGAGAGCAGAATGCCTACAAAGTCCTAGGTGTTGGTCCAACCTCTAGTCAAAGTGAAATTACCGCTAGATGGCGGGCTTTGAGCAGAGAATTCCACCCGGACAAGGTGAAAGATCCCGACAAACAGAGGGATGCTCAGGAAAAATTTATGGAGATACAGCAGGCTTACGATATTCTCTCGAATATTAAAAACAAAAGGAAAAGGAAAAACAAAAAGTCTGTCAGAGAGGATGAGTTGTGATTTGGAGACATTCTTTTTTCTCAGTTTTGTTGATGTTAAATGCATGCAAATTTCAATAATACTCTACAAAGTTTGATGTTTTAATTAGTTGAAGTGTATTTGAGATCTGAATTACTAAATGGAATATATGAAATGTTGTTGAGTGGAAGTTTTGTGCTTTACTGTTACTCGTTTACCTTTTTCTTTGGTCTGAACCAAACACGTTTAATTTTTAGCTGGAATTTTCAAGTAGATTACAGAACAGTGAAACATCGCTTCAGTATGGTTAATATTTTATTACATTAGGTTATTAAATATTCTTTTGGTATTTCACAAATATATGCAGTAAATATAAGGCTATTATATATTGTCATACAAAAAATGGAACTTAGCTAAAAATTCTTCACAAATTATTTTTTTCCAATTTTTGTGTGATCATTATATCATTTCTATACATTTAGCACCATTTTGGATAAGTTGCTTATTGATTCCCAATAGTTGAGTAGAAATTTACATTTGTGGTGGGCGTTATTTTTTTATTGTTTCTACATGGTTGAAAAAAAAACTCAATTACACTTTTGGATTGGCTTTTCATCATGAAGGAGGTGACTTCGATAAGTGGGAACATAGATACTGTGTGTATATTATGTGAAATTCATGAGACTACCAAGTTTTTGTTTCAAGGAAACACTTCATTACCTTCCAGGGTGTAGTTTACCACGTCATCTTTTATTTTCTATGAACCAACATCCTGTTTGTCCTTTTCCGATCATCTTTCAATATTTCAAAAATCCAAAATGGGGCATTTCAAGTCTTCGAACAAAGCTTTGCGGAAATTATCGATTTTTATTTTCAAAACTAACTATTTAGTGCCACAAAATATATGAGGTTGAATTGGGTTTTCTGTAAACCTGATATGATTATGCATGATTCAAACTATGTAGCTTGTTCCAACTCCTAAATCATGTGATAGTGACTTGATGACTCTCCTTGATTCACGAAACTTGTGGAAATACAACCTGATGTACATGGACACGATTTTCCTTCGTTATAATTGAAAACGAACTAGATGAAGGTAATTATTGTCTTAATTGACTGAAATAACTTGTATAATCAGTTGAGCGGTACTCTGAAACACGACATACTCAAATAAGAGAAGTACAAGATATCCCTGTGTAAATTAGCCAAAAGTGTGCAATTGAGTGGCCAGCTCGCTCACCGGATTTAATCCGAATCACTTCTTTTATCGGGTTATCTATACATATATAGTATACTTCGTTTTGCTACGAGTCTGTTTTACGTTTGTGATGTAGTTCTAGTTCTGTTGAGAAAAATAAACCCCATTTATTACCTTTACTACAGGGGAAGAGGAAGAGAGGAAGAAGAAGGTAACCAAAGCATCTGCTTCTTCGTTAGGTTATGAAGTGTCTCCGCTGAATCAAAAATATACTTGAATGCACACACGAAATATTCCAAGTATATTGAAAATTGAACATTTCTGAAGAAGATGAATGAGAATTACTTTTTATAAAAAAATAAATACACACAAGAGAAACAGTATTTTTCTTACAGATGTAAAGTTTCTTGAGTTTTACTGATTTCGTTCTAATCAATAATATGTGAAAAAAAAAACTATTGGGACCTTGAAGACAATTAAAACGACAACCAATACCATATTTGTTAAAAATACATTCTAGATTGAAATAATACATACTGTAGGGAACCATGAAAATATAGTACTTACTATAAGTATTACATAATTCCAGTCATCTTTAAACTGAAAAATGGTAATTCAAAAAATGTCTTCCGCACAGTTATTAAGGTAATAGTTGAAAAAAATACCAAAAAGTACAATGAACATCTTACACTACTCATAATACTACCTACCTAGTGAAATTATCAATTGCGAAAAACAAAAAAGTTATTATAATATCGTGAAAGTTACCGAAAACAATTGAGAAGCAGGGTCCCATCATGGGTTGTAATAATATCAATAAACTTGAACACAATAAAGGCCACAGCTTCGCAGTTTATCAGTTGAAAATAGTTTCAAAAATATCTTGGAGGTAACACATGGTTGATAATTTCCTCTCTCTCCATAACTTGGCCCCATTTGGGTGTCAGAAACGTGTAAAAAGATTCACATATTTATGTACGGAATGATAAACATTTAGAAACGTTGCTCGCTGTAAAACTTCGTGAACGACACATGGTGAAATGTTACTTTGAAGGTCGAGAATAAATATTGTTCTGAGAAATCAATGACAACATTTCAAGTAAATTTGCAGTGTACAGGTACAGTTTATAATTGCTGCCACTTTAAGGGCCATATAACAGTTGGGATGAAAAGGAAAAACAGATTTTTTTTTATATAATTTGTTTTCACTATTCAATATAGTCGATTTCGGAGGCAATCTTTGATGCCATTTTTACAGTACGTTGTGTCTTTAATTCCCAAAAAGGCATCAGTTTTGACGATATCCTCTTCACCGGCGCAATTTTTTTCCAGCGAACATTCTCTTTAGGTCTAAAAACAGGAAAAAGTCGCCGAGGGCCAGATCTTGAGAATATGGTGGATGCTGAAGCAATTCTTGATGAAACAGCACTTCAGGTGGGGCAATTTTTCCGCGATTTCGTCCTTCAACCACGTGGAGTCCAATCAGATGACAATTTGTTGATTCTGGTGTAAAATGTTGGAGCCATTTTCCATCCATTATCACATATCGACGCATAAGTTTGGATTTTCCATGGTGGAACAGCTCAAACACTGTTCAGAATCAAGAATTCGTTGTTGTTTTTGGTCGATTGTGAAGTCGTACAGCACCCACTTGGAACAGAGCTTCCGCATACCCAAATATTCATGCACGATGTGTCCAACACGTTCCTTTGATATCTTTAGAGCCTCAGCTATCTCAATCAACTCATTATGCGGTCATCCAAAATCATTTTATGGACTTTTGTTATGTTTTCCTCTTCAACAGCATCTTTTGGGCGTCTTCGGTGCTCATTTCACATCGTTTAAACTTAGTAAACTACTTCTCAACGATTGATTTTTCCTGCTCAAAGTCCCAATAATGTTTATCATGCCAATCCTCACTCACTCAACTGACCACCGTATTGGTTGGTGGTTCAAACCACAGACTGAACGATTGATTTCCACTTGTTATCGTCCAACCAGTGTTAGGAATCACACAGCTGGTTAACGGAAAGAACATATTTCCAACACACACACATACACATTCATATTTAAGCCATGAATAAGTTGTGGAAGTACCAAACTTTATGGTATGGAATTAGATTAGGAGATGGGTCAATGAAAATCATAAAGAGTACTGAAAAAATAAACAAGGGAACACAGGGAAACCCTTCTTGAGAAAGTTGCCTGAAAAAATCGGTTCACAATAGTTGCAGCACTGGACACTGTCCATTTAGAGGAAATCCAAACAAAATAGAGTTGTATGACGAGAAATTAGGTACAGGCAATGCAGCAAAGCCATAGAGACAACTCGTCATATAGTATGTGAGTCACTGAATCACAGAAGACAAGCAATTCCTGGACAAAGTAGATATGGCATTAGAATATGACAAGACTTCTTTAAAAGACCTGTACAAACTAGTATAAGACTGTGGAAGTGGGTGTTATGGAAACTTGAGAGGGGGAAACTTAATGAGGCTTTAGGGCTATAGCGAGACTTGAAAGAACCGAACAAGTCAGCCGGTTCACCAGCAACAAAGAGAACCTCATACCTACCAAACGACTGTTTTTGGCAACTCCCATCAAATAAGATTTCCGAAGTCCATTTACATATAAACCATCTAAATATTCGCTACAATTATACAAAACAGTCTCCCGAAGTATTATTCATCCAAATACCACTTGCAAAGATTACATTCGTGCTATTTTTTCTTCTTGGTCCTAGCGGTCTTGATGACAGGTGGCGGATCGTCCGCTGTCTGTTGAGCAACTGTAGGAACGGGCGCTGGCTTTCCATTGGCGGCCAGGTTGTTGTTGGGGAAGTCCCCATTATTGTTAACTAGCGTAATTTGAAGTCGTGGTACGGTCAGCGGCCTGATGAGGGATTTCACTACGGGAGGAACGTTGGGACCGGATGGAAGCACTGGGGAGCTGGCGCAGAGCGCTGCCGACGTAAGCTGTGTGACGAGACGGGCGCTGGAGAAGGTGTCCGATTGGGGTCCGGAAGAAGTGCGGAAAACTTTTCTGAGTTTCGATTTCAGACCTAGAAAAAACAATAGAATAGTTATTTCCTGTGTTATTATAACAGACAACAATGAGGTAGATGATTTGTTTGCAGATCTTCACAAATGTGGAAGTTATTCCTGAAAAGTATCTATACAACGGATCAGCTAGATACGGTTTTCATCTCTCTCACACTCATCAGACCGTCCTCTGACTTTTAGATATACCGCTGCTGCGCACGATAGCTTCTGATTGGTCGACTGGGTGATGGCTAAAGTGGAGGAGTGGGGGAGCTCTGAAGTGAGGCTAACCCTACTTATTTTGACTATTAAACATTTCCCAACCATTCAAACGCTTAGGAAAAATAGAAACTTTTTGAGTATAGAAATGGTACTTGAACTTTACAATAATCTATAAATTTGAAGGGGTAGTTTTTAATAAGAGATTAGTTTTCAGGAATAATGCTTTCTGGCTTTCACTTTTCCAGCTCTATATGGAATATTGTGAGAAATTGCCTAAGGGAGAAAGAAGGCACTTGACTACTTCCTTCCTTCGTAAATGAGGAATGTTCCTCAATTTGGGTTATTACATCAAATGCAAGTTTGAACAAAATAAAGATGAGTTCAATTGATGAGTTTTTCAATTTCTCTTCGAAAACTATTCAAATTGATGTTTCAAATATTGGGTTTTTTTAAAGACAAAGGTTGAAATGATAAGTTTAAAATGCGATGTTTTAGAGCTCTTCTATGAAAACTACTTGATTTTCGTCAGGAGGAACATTCCCCATTGAGTCCACCACTGAAACGGAGGTAAATAATTCAATACATTTTCTTGACTCGACCATTACTAAAATCAGCTTTGTTCGAGGTATGATACTCCGAAAGGATTTGATTTTTAATTATAGGTAGTGATCGACTTCTTGTTGATGTATGATCCTACCTTGCACTGACGAGGGGCAAGTGTGCTCGTTTCAATTATTGAAAATCGATTCCGGCAGTTGGATCGCCAAAAGCATATGCAGGAATTACCTCAGTGAAGAATTCTGCACTGACACCTGTCGGATATAATCCAATGCCCTTCGTGGTATTCGCCAGGCGAGTAGTTGTTTTCTGATATGTGCCAGTCCATAAACCTACTGTGTAAGTTAATGGACTAACACCTGTACTTCTTTAGATAATTCAATTATCAAAATGACTGCATTTTGCTACAAACCATCTTATATGGATATTATCTTACACAATTTCTCGACACATCCCTATCAGCTTGAAGTAGCAGCATTCATTATGAATGTTACATAGACTATTCATTGATCCATGGCTAGAAAGCAATTTTCAGGGACAACTGAGATGAATTAAACAAATTGTTGTCAACAACGGTTACAAGGTAGATATTATTGATTCAAACTTTTTCAAAAAACAAGTCATTTACCAGGTCCATCCGACGTTGAAAACCAATGATGAGCAAGACACTGACATACTTGGTGAACCCACAATAACATTGCTCGTTTTTCAAAACTGAAAAACTTGGGTTTAGCTTACAGAACAAATAATAATTCAAGCAAATTGATTGAAAACAATAAAGACAAAACTAAAGTGTTGGATAGATTGGGAATATATAAGTTCAACTGTAGTTTTTTATTAAAACTGTATATTTGTCAAACGGAGAGAATATTTCATCACAGAATGAAGGAGCATATGAGTAGTTTCTTGATATAAAAACCAATCCCACATTCAAAACTATATTTAGGCAGAGAGGCTTGCGTTCAACCATAACTATGATGTGTTTCATTTGGAAGGGAAACCTTTGAAACTCAATTTTCGTAATGTTTAGAAGTTAACAGATTTGAGGGCTTCGATATATAAATAGAATTGAACTTTTTGGCCTATTGAATCTGTTTACGGATGAAATTAGTATGTATGTAATGAGTATGTTGAATTTTTTTCATAATGATCCAATTTTTGATTAGTTTATACCTAAATTCAGTAGAAGAACGTGATCAAACTGTTATATTATTCTACTAATTAGGTAGAATTTAGTCAGTATCAACACGCCTGTATAGCGAAACACCTGTTGCAGTTTTGTAAACTATTCGGTAAAAATTTCATAATAAAATGTTACTTGAATGAAATTGTAAATGCGCACAATGAAACTCAGCATGTGGACTACCTAAACAACGAGTGAAACTGCCTCTACTTTCACTAACTCTTAACCATTTTCTCGAAAGTCCTACAAAACATATCAACCCTTCTATCACGCCTTCTTCAGTGCTTTCAAGGAGACAACTTCTTTAAGGAGTTTCCACCCCGTCCGTTCAAATCCACTTCGAGTACGGATCACGGAATTTCGTGTCGAAACAAATAAAAGTATTCGAGAAAAGTAGAACAATAATTATAAGTGCTCTTCACATTAATTTGAAGAGTCACGAAAGCTCTACCTTTTTTCTGGACTTTTCTTCCATTAGGTTTGTGGAACGAAATTGATGTTGTTTTAAGACTTGTTTTGATGGGGTAATGGTTGCGAATATGGTTCACGAAGAGCAATAACGTGTACAAGACAAAAAAGTAGAGAAGGGGGGGTTTGAAAATATAAACTTTGTCAAAGAAATGTTTTTTTGCATAATATTATTTTGTAGCTTATTGGTGTATGATGTCGTGAGACCATTTTGGCCTAATTTGAGTTGGATCAAACCGCTACAATGAATGAGGTGTTCCACGTGGATTTGCGAATTTTTGTTCCAGAGATTTTAGCCTCGAAGATGAGCCCCGGAATGATCGCCCTACAGTAATCCAAGATGAGGATTTAAAGACCCTTACGGAGACTGACCAATCACAAACAGTGCTTGGGATGGCGTTTTTGATGGTTCAAAATGCATTGGAAACGTCGAAAAGCCTAAAAAGAGGGGTTTTCTACGACTTAACGATTGGAAGAGATTGCACGTTTCGAATCTGTTCTTCTATGCTTTTCCGCAACCAAAACGATCCTTTATTTAATCAGATAGTCACATGTGATGAAAAGTGGATCTTCAACGACAACAGAAGATGTTCAGAACAGTGGTTGGACGCTGATGAGCAACCCAGGCACTTGCCAAAGGCGAAAACCCACCAAAAAAATCATGGTTACCGTTTGGTTGTTAGCGGCTGGTGATATCCACTATAACTTTCTACCACCGGTCCAAATCACCGGAACAGAGTCCTATTGTCAGGAAATTGAAAAAATTTAACGGCTGGGTACGTGAAAAAACAACAATAGTCGAATTTGGAACGGTACCAATTCACATGAGAGCAAAGAGCGTCCAGTACATCCCGGAAAAGTCACTGTTTGGTGTGGATTTTGGGCTGGCTGCGTCATCTGTCCAAATTTCTTTGAGAACGACGTCATCACAGTGATCGTTAAGAACTATAGATCGATGATTACCAACTTCTTTTTGCCTGAATTGGATCATCTGGACACCAACGACATGTGGTTTTAACAGGACGGCGCTACCTGCCACACTGCTCATGTCACATTGGAAATTCTGCTCTGTTTGGGAGCACGTGAAGGGAATGTTGAGTAGCCACCAATAACGTGCGATTTGACACCGTTAGGCTTTTTCTTGTGTGGTTTTCTTAAGTAGCAGGCATATGCAAATGAGCCACAAACCATAGTACTCCTCAAAAACAACATAACTCATGCCTTCGGTCAAATTCAGCTTGATTTCTGCGACAGAGTCATGGAAAATTGAACTTTTCGGATGAGCTCCAACCATAGAAGCCATGGCAGACATTTGAACGACACATATCACTGTGAATTCCTGTTTTGAAAATCATTTTAAAGTTTGTTGTTACGTGCAGTCAACTTCAAACTGTTTGTTTTTTTTTCAAAACTGTCTCATTTAGGGCCTGGTATATTGTTAATTAATGAGTATACAACTCGCTTATAAAGACCCCTTCGAAGTGAGACGGAAAAAAACATAAGTCTAGTGCTGGCAGTCGAACGATACAGGTGATCAGTTCGTGCCATTTCTTTCAAATTCTCCAACTTCAATCACATCTATACTGATGCTTCTAAAACAGAAGAAGTTGTGGGAACAACTGTCATTAGTATGTATGTATATAGTAGAGAGGGTGAGTGTATACCCACAGTACTTAGGCTATATGTGACCCATTCTACATCCTCCAGAAGAGTTGTCCTCCTAGGTCATCGTCCATCCTGTCCTATCCAGGAAAGTGGACAGGTCACTAGGAAACATCTCCTTTATATCGGTAGGTGTAGGCCAAGACCCGCCGAACATACACTCTCTGGCAACCTTGAGGTATTTCACGGCGGCCTCCGCGAAGGTTTTGGAAGGTGCAGCGATATTAGTGTCGTTGCGCGGCTTCTTCATCCTTCTTGGGGTTCCCTCCGTGAAAGTGCACAAGTGAGGGAGCTATCCTGCAGAGGCAGCCGGTTCCTTGTATTTATTCAAGGTGGAGATATTGGCGTCCGCCGCAGGAAGTACCCCTGCTGTTGGAAGTAGAGTGGGGGAGGAGGAGGGTACACTTATAGTTGCTGCCACTCTTGCCTCTCTTTCTCCTTTTGGCCTTGGCGCCGCAAATGCGCCGCCTTTGTATTACATCACGAGGTGATCTGCTATGTCCTGCCTCATACCGAGCGGTAGATTGCTGTGGACATTTCTGTTCATCCCCACCAACATAGATTGAGATGAGCACTTCTGTTCAGCCTCGGGATTGGTTTTTATTGTGACTGTCTGTTGGTTCTGTATGTGTGTTCTCACGAGTAGCAAAGGAAGAGTGGTCACCTCTGACATAGCCCCGTATTACCATAGGTAAGCTGATTACAATGAGGTTTCGTCCAGTTCCCCAAGTTCACCCTACTTATTTCTGCTACTAACCAAGAGTCCGGCGACACCGTCCTTAAGGCCACATAGGCTTCCCGGACAGGGCCTCCAGTCCCCTGGCCGTTCCTCTATCCACCACCTGGGGACGCGCCCGATAGGTAGCCCAACCCACGGGCTGTCGTCAGTAAACATGAGAGAAAATGTTACAAACTACCTTGTATCAGCAGTATCTCCACTGGAGAGGTTTATTCCATCGCACAGGCAATTATACATGCGAGACAAATAAACGGAAACTCTGTAATATTCACAGATTCACTGAGTGCAATTATACCCTACACCTCCTCTCTCAGAACAAATCAAGATCGAGTTGTTCAAATTTCACCAAGAAGGAAGAAAGTCGAGATAATCTAGATACCATCACACATCGGGATACCAGGAAGCGAGAGAGCCGACACGCTGGCACGTAATGCTCTCTCAAACACAAGTGCACTGACAATTGACAGTGCTCAGAGACACATATCGGCAGACAAAGACTTCCATAAACGTTGTCTGGAAACAGAAATAGCAAAATTTAATTACCAATACACTGCACAAAATAAATTCCAACATGGAAATGAAAAATTATGCTGGCTTTAGTCGCAAAAACCAAATAACCATAAGTCGCCTAAGAATTGGACGCACCCGACTCATTCAAAAACATTTACTAAAAAAGGAAGCTCGTAGTACATGATAAAATTCACGTCAGACTCTCTTTCACAGTTACGCTACATCTATGGACAGGTCGCTGGGAGACATCTCCTTTACATCGGTAGGTGTAGGCCAAGACTCTCTGGCAACCTTGGGGTATCTCACAGCGGCCTCCGCGAAGGTTTTGGAATGTGCAGCGACATTACTGTCGTTGCGCAGCTTCTTCAAACTTCTTGGGGTTCCCTCCGTGGGAGTGCCCAAGTGAGGGAGCTATCCTGCAGAGGCAGCCGGTTCCTTGCATTTATTCAAGGTGGAGATCTTGGCGCCCGCCGCAGGAAGTGCCCCTGCTGTTGGAAGTAGAGTGGGGGAGGAGGAGGGTACACTTATAGTTGCTGCCACTCTTGCCTCTCTTTCTCCTTTTGGCCTTGGCACCGCAAATGCGCCGCCTTTGTATTACATCACGAGGTGATCTGCTATGTCCAGCCTCATTCCGAGCGGTAGATTGCTGTGGACATTTCTGTTCATCCCCAGCCACCAACATAGATTGAGATGAGCACTTCTGTTCAGCCTCGGGATTGGTTTTTATTGTGACTGTACTAACCAAGAGTCCGGCGACACCGTCCTTAAGGCCACATAGGCTTCCCGAATAGGGCCTCCAGTCCCCTGGCCGTTCCCCTATCCTCCACCTGGGGACGCCCCCGATAGGTAGCCCAACCCACGGGCTGTCGTCAGTAAACATGAGAGAAAATGTTACAAACTACCTTGTATCAGCACCATCTCCACTGGAGAGGTTCATTCCATCGCACAGGCAATTATACATGCGAGACAAATAAACGGAAACTCTGTAATATTCACAGATTCACTGAGTGCAATTATACCCTACACCTCCTCTCTCACAACAAATCAAGATCGAATTGTTCAAACATCACCAAGAAGGAAGAAAGTCGAGATAATCTAGATACCATCACACATCGGGATACCAGGAAGCGAGAGAGCCGACACGCTGGCACGTAATGCTCTCTCAAACACAATTGCACTGACAATTGACAAAACACTGCTCAGAGACACATATCGGCAGATAAAGACTTCCATAAACGTTGTCTAGAAACAGAAATAGCAAACTTTGATTACCAATACACTGCACAAAATAAATTCCAACATGGAAATGAAAAATTATGCTGGCCTTAGTCGCTAAAACCAAATAACCATAAGTCGCCTAAGAATTGGACACACCCGACTCATTCAAAAACATTTACTAAAAAAGGAAGCTCGTAGTACATGATAAAATTCACGTCAGACTCTCTTTCACAGTTACGCTACATCTATGGTATCCGTAAGTTCCAGCATATTCCTTATAAAGTTTCTCAGTCGCAATGGCTGACAATGAAGAATCGTTTCTTGTTGAAATCACCGCAGTATCTTTGTGATAAAGTTTGATTTCGTGAAAATGAACATGAAGTGAATATCCGACACAAAAATGCAATAACTTTACCCCACCAGAGCACAGCACTGTTTGAGAGATCGTTCAGTTTTTCTATCTGCATTCATTACAATAGTCTTCCCTTTCCACAGGGCTATATGAAAAATAGCTATCGTGCAACTAAAGTCTCGCATAAAATGCAAAAATTCAAGTCATTCTGTAAACATTATGAATTACCCCCCTTTTAATCTTTTTATTTTTTTCGCTCTCTCACTACATAGGCACTATAATTTTTTGTACATTATATGTTTGATGAATACCTGAATTTTACCTAATCCATTGTATTTTCCTTTATGTACATTCTTTTTTACCTTGGTAAATAAAAGACATTATTATTACTATTATCATTATTAAAACTGCAACATGGACCTAACAATGGAACACCTCTTCACTTGTCAACACCAGCAGAAGATAAACGATCTGAATATAACCGGAGACATAACCACGACCCTAAATAGCGAATGGAATAATGCTACAGAATATGTCAAACGAATCCATGTATTTTGATTGAATTTATTTACGTATAGCGCCATCTGCCCGCGAATAGCTCAAGCAATAATTGATACTTACGTACAGTGCCATCTGCACGTAAACAGATCAAGCAATAATTGATAGTTATGTACAGCGCAATCAGCCCGCGAATAGGTCAAGCAATAATGCCGATAATTCTGTCAATACAGATCATGAGCTTGAGAGTTACAAACAAACATACATACAAACAAACATACATACATACATACATAAAGGTGAAGCTAATATAAAGCGTGTAAAAAAAGTACGATTTCACCCTTTTAAAATCCTAAGAAACTCAAAGTTCCTGTTAAAGTTCAACTTACCGTGAGATTGTTGTTGTGGAATCGTCGGCACCGGAATGAGCTTCCCCATTAGGACTCGTGCTCCCACGTCATTATCTCCACCCCAGTTCCCGTAGGAAGTCGACCTTTCAAGTAGCCTCTGTCTAGCGTGCTTCTCGATGACGTCAGCGCAAACATATCGCCCACAAAATCGGGCCCACTGATCAGCCCGGAAACCCCGACCATTGTCACGCAAAGTTGGGTTGGCTCCTGGAACATAAGTAGGGTTATAGTTGAAAGGAATCGATTTCTCTTAGGGTTCTAGAGGGACACTCCACCACGATAATTATAAAGTGTTTCTGTCTGATTGATTCGGCAGTTACTTGGTGAAGATCCACAGTAATTTCATAATCTACATCTTATAATTTGATCTTCACAAACTTTATTGAGGGTATTCTCAGCATGACGTTGCGTATTACGGAACGCACCTTGGAAATTGAACGTCAGGTTAGTTTGTCAAACTGACAGTATGTCATGAATATACCGTTTTTCGTCGATAAAAATGGGAAAAGATTATTACAAGATTTTGGGCATTCCAAAAAACTCATCCGACGACGAAATAAAAAAAGCCTACCGGAAACTAGCGCTGAAATATCACCCTGATAAAAATAAATCACCAGGAGCTGAAGAGAAGTTCAAAGAAGTCGCGGAAGCCTACGAAGTCCTGTCCGACAAGAAGAAACGGGATATTTTCGATGAGTTTGGAGAAGAAGGTTTGAAAGGAGGTATTTCTGGCGGAACAACGGGGGGACAATTTGGCAACGGGACTTTCAGTTATACTTTTCACGGGGATCCCAGGGCTACTTTCGCTCAGTTTTTCGGAAACGTCAACCCGTTCCAAGACCTGTTCGGGATGGATGATCCTTTTCAAAATGCCGGTGGGGCTGTCGATGACCCATTCAGCCATTTCTTCCACATATCCAGTAACCATAGGAGTCCCAGCAATCAGCGGAATAGTAGGCAGCAAGACCCCCCTATTGAACATGACTTGTACATACCTTTGGAGGATATCATGACAGGTAATTATTATTATTTTAAACTGTGAGAGGCCCTGTTAGAAATCGTAGTTCATCCGTAAAGTAGTCCAACAACTGTTGATGCCAATGACAAATTCTGGTCCAATTGGATGAGGGACATCCCATTTTTAATCCGTATTCATTCACAGGTTGCACCAAACTCATGAAAATCAATCGCAAAGTCATAAGAAATGGTGTTCAAGTGAAAGAGGACAAGATGTTGGAGATCAATGTGAAGCCAGGTTGGAAAGCAGGAACCAAAGTGACTTTTCCAAAGGAAGGTGACCAGGGTCCGAATAAAATCCCTGCTGACGTGGTGTTCATTATTCGGGATAAACCGCATAAATTGTTCAGAAGAGAAGGTAAGATACTTATGAATCGCTTATTAGCATTGAGTTTTATTTTTGTAACCATGGAGCAAATGTACGCAGGATTCCAAAATTTTCTTGCAAACTTCAACTATCCCTTGTACATTGTGTAATTCAAGTATTTCATACTTGAGCATGATCGAAATTCAAATTAAATACCCAAATGCACACACTGCAGACAGAAAACGACCCGTTTGCGATACAAAAATAGGGTGAACCGGGTAAAGGATCATAAACCCACCCACAATGCTGTGTCAAATAATAACAAGAACCCAAAATTATGTTTGCGCACTATGTTTCTGCGTTCATGACGTTGTTGATTCTGCTCGAAAAAAATTCATACAGAATCTGCCGAAAAAGGTAACATTCGACAGAAAATTTCACTCAGAGCGAAGCATTTCGCACCGATAAGTTGTCAACACTAGCTGATTTATCTTCAAGTGTGACAGTTGACGTATCAAAACAGACAGCGGACGTATGAAATATACCAGCAAACATAGGAGACTTTTTATACTTTGCATGATGGTGTTTTTGGTTTTGGGTGATGAGCATATGGTTATTCCTAATATGATAATTATGTAGTATATGTAGTATATGATAGTTGTCTTCTATTTTCAAGGATATACGTCAATATTTTTAGAATGAACAAACAGGCAACACTTGAAAATTCTGGCCAGCTCAGTTGCTAAACCCCAGACAGCAATGTTGTTGTAAATAATGGATTGAAACTGAAAAGCGAAACAAACTGATATCAGCGCCTTAGTATCTAATTTACTCTCAAGGGATTTAATGAGATAATACGATTGGTTCAATTTCTTGGATATGAACTCTATATGTTCTTGCCAAGTGAAATGTGAGTCCATTATTGTTCCTAAGAATTTTGTTGAGCTTGTTAATGCCAAGAATTCATTCCGGAAAATGAAATTGAAATCATGTAGGCTTCGAGATGAATTTGCAAATTCCATGCAGATAGTTTTTCTCAGGTTAACTATAAGTCTATTCCTGTAACACCAGTCATCAAATTCGTGTAGGACTGAGTTTACAAGGTTATGCATTTCTTCCATTGTTTTACCTACTTGAAAGAATATTGGAAATGTCGTCTGCGTGAAGGTATATCGCACCATTACTTATATTATTAGGTAGGTCATGCATTTATAATAGAAAAATTAGTACACTGAGTACACTACCTTGAGGTGCCCCATTTGTTACAAGGAATTTATCGGACATTATATCATTCTGTTTCACCTGGAAATATCTATTTGTTATCTTACATATTATATTACATTTCACTATTGGTGTAAAAAGTATATATCCGACTGAGCAATCACAAACTGTGCTGGGATGATGGAAGAACTGGGCGTCAGCTCCCATGTGGTTTTTGATGGTTCAACACGCTCGAGAAGTGGTTGCCCTAAGATTTGAACGATCAACAGAAATTGGCAGGTTTGGAAGTCTGTCCTTCTTTGCTTTTGCGCAACCAAAACGATCCTTTTTTGGATCGGATGACGTGTGATAAGTAGATCCTCTACGACATGAGACGTTTAGAATAGTAGTTGGACACCGTTGAGCCACACAGGCACTTTCCAAAGACTAAAACCCATCAAAAAAGTCCATGGGTACTATTTTGTGGTCAGCGCCTGGTATAATTCACTATAACTTTCTGCAACCGAGCCAAAGCAACCCAGCAGAGTCAACAGAAGAGCTCCGATCCTGCTACACAACAACTTCCATCGGCACGTTTCACATATTACCGTCGGAAAATTAAACGACCTCTTGCCAACCGACTACCATATTTTCAAGTATTTCGAAAATTTCCTTCCCAGTACAACCTTAGCCAATCGGAACCAGGCAAAATGGCTTTCGACCGCTTCATCGAATTCCAAGCATAGAAATATTATGCTGACGGAAATGGCGCCTAGATAGACCGCCCCCACTCCTCCACCTTTGCCATCACACAGTCGACCAATCAGAAGCTACCAAGCGCGGCAGCGGTAAATTCAAATTGTTCTCACTTCAACAAGACTACCTAGTCTACTCAGTTTGTTACGTTGGCAAAAGTGTAGTGAGATAATACAGTTGAAAGTAGACTTATAATAAGTAATAGTTTGAAAGAACTAAGAAAACACACGGTTTAATAACAACACGAAATGAAAAATAATTTGCAACTGATTTAAGATGGCGTTCAACATCGATAATAAGTCTTATGGGTTGATGCAACTAATGGCTTTTAATAAGTTTGAAATCAGAATAAATCTATTCACAAGAAAAATGATTATGTTGTATAAAAGTGTGAGGTTCCAATCTGGGAAACAGCTCCTAACCAAGTATTCATAACAACCTAAGCTAACCTAACGCTTTTCATCAGTAAAATATTTTTTTTGCAAATAGACGTATTCCAAAAGTGTTGTAATCAATAAAAATCGAGAAGACTTTTGAAACAATTCAGTATTTTCACATTTGACGATTTGTACACGTTCATATATTTTCGAACACAGTATTAATTTGAATTATTCTATATTAAGCAGCCAATGTTTCTTGGGAAGAGTTGAAAAAATCAACATGAATCGCCTAAGAGCGTGGAAGGATTTTCCTGCGATACTTGTACGTTCCCTTAGAAAACAGATCAGTTCTTTAATAATATTTTGTTCCAAATTGGCGAACCCTTCACAAACTCCCGTTGATATCTCACCGCCCATTGCAGGTAGCGACATCAAGTACACCGCCAAAATATCTCTACGAGAAGCCCTGTGCGGTTGCACAGTTACCGTTCCACTTCTGGAAGGCGGGTCCATCTTCCTGGATTACTCTCGAGAAGTCGTTACTCCCGAGACCGCGAAGAGGATTCCCGGCAGGGGATTACCCTTGCCGAAAGAGCCGTCACAGCGCGGGGATCTGATCGTAAACTTCGAGATTCGCTTTCCGGATCGGATTCCAGAAAAAACCAAGAGGATGTTGGCAGAAGTTCTGCCATGAATAGGCGAGTGGTTGAGTGCTGTTTGAGTCCGGATGCGATGGAAGATCGATAGGTTTGAGGAAAGTTCGTTTTAGACTTGAAAAACAAGTTTTGTGTTGACTCTAATGGTTACTAGTAAGGCATTTCGTGGAAATTATAACATTAATATTATGTGTAAGGCAGAAAATTATATAAATAGTTTCTTTACTGATAGTTCAATCGAATACAACTTCTTCGATTTCTTCATTGAAGTACATTTCCAAGACCAAGATAACTGCATGCATAGGAGCTGACCTAGTCCACTTTCTATCACAAGTGGAACCATTTTGGTGAAATCTCTTCTCTTGGCATCAGTAAATACTGTGCTGTTTTTGTTTGTGCTAGGTAAGGGTCTTTCAATAAGCGCTTCCTTTCTTGAAAGTCAAATAAAACAAAATGTGTGCAAGATATCATCGAAATTTTGCATTCGTTTGAAAGACTGCTCACGGCTTCTCCCTGACTCGGAATTTAACCGATGGCATGGGTTATGTTGGTTTTGGGGCCGCTGTGTTTGGTAGCTCATTCACATATTTCTGCGACTTGATTGGGGAATTAAGATTTATGTTTAGCGTATTTCGTTACATATTTTGTTATAATCATATCTATGATAGAAACACTGTCCTCAGTATTTAAGGGAAAACATTCGCGATCCCAATAAAATGCCCCAATTTTCCTGCGGACGAGACAAAGTCATCTTTGTTAAAGTTAAAAGAAGGCTTTTCTTGACAGATAAGGCTAATTGAAGCAGGTAAATGTAAAATCGACTGCCTCGGATTCGTCTGCACACTCCCACAGAAAGCGGCAGATCTTGCGTTTAGTCGATGTACGGGTGTTGATCGATTGTTTACTGAACCAGTGGACTTAAATTCATCCACCACATTGTGAATAGTCCTCTTACTTTTTTTCTCACACAAAATCTATTGCTACGCATGAGAATGATCCGAAATACTGGCCGTGTTAGTATGACCCGAATTCGCGCTTCATAAACACAATATAGAAAAGTTACCAAAATTCAGCTCATACTCAAAACAACATCAATTCTGAAGCAGTACAAAATTTGCCGGGTCAGCTAAAAATAAGGGAATTTTCATTTTTTATCGAAAAATATTCTTCAATTCCCCTCCAGTAGTCTCCCACTTGTATCAGCGTTTTTTTCAACGCTCTATTTTTTATCTCCTTAGTCAAAATCTTTTCAACTCTTTTCAAAATCACCCCGTTTCAACTCACCCCTTTTTTTGACGTAGAATCAGATACATGTGGATGAAAAGTTATGTGAGAAATTTTCAATTTAAAAATAGGTATACCTACATGATACTATATAAAAGTTTGAGCAATAAAAGCCCGACAAACACTTATTTTCAAAGGTCATAGGTCCATGTCCATTCAGAATTTCGCAATCCAACTCCCCTAATGGAAAGCTAGGATTTTCCAGAGCATTCGTAATGTATGTACCTACATGAATATTTTATTGAAACCGAACAAATGCCAGTCAATATCTCTATTCGCCGGATAATGTGAAAATAATGAACATAAAATGTAATAGTTCATTACTTATTCTATTGGTGCACAGAATAAACTTTAATGTTTAGCTTTCATTGTATATTTTTCCACGTGCAAACATTATAAAATATAGTTAGGTCTTAGCTAGTTGTTGCAATATATTACTAAAGATCTTGAATTGTAAATATCCATGACAAATGTTCCATAAAAATTCCACCATCATTAACAAATTGATTAATTCATTTTTTGATGTTTCTGTTAATAACAAAAAAGAATAACATTTTTGTGCAATTCGCTATCAGCTGATTTTAAAATACAATTTTTGTCCGCCTACAACATTTTTTCTTCAGGCAATTTTCCAAAAGAATGAAATTGAAATTGATTAATAATCAATTTGAACATACTAAATGCTATCAAAATCGTATACATTCAAACCAAGAGAGTAGATTTAACATTTACTGACCCTTGATACGCGGGCTTAATGCACAGATAAATGCACTATGATTATAAATTATAAAAAATATGTTTTAGTGTGATTTTCCTTTTTTGCAGAAAGCTGCCCACTTTCACATTCTAAATCATCACTGTCCGAAATTATTTATTCACACTATTTTGGCGTAACGCCCAACCAGTGTGAAGAGAATCGCACAGTCGCTTGAAAATAGCGACCCGTCGCCACGGCATGCATCGCCACGCCAGAAATCAGTTTTACGTGAGGCTATAGCTGATGCTTCACGTTGAAATGTCGTTTGGAAAAAAAATTGCCAGTATCATTTATGAACATGTATGTGAACATTTCATTGAGATAAGCAGAAACGTAGTTGGAAGTTTCATTGTCAATCTGTTTCTTGTATAGTTCAAGTAAACGATATAGTGCAACCTATCTCCAACAGCTCCCCTTTAATTCTTTGTATTTCATCTTTCCTCGAATTTCCGTCGGTACTTTGATGAGCTGTCGCCAATGATAGGAAGCGTTGTCAATAAATATTACACTATTTCCATCCGAATTTGGGATCAACGTATTTTCAAACCATTTCTCGAAAATATTAGCTTCTATGTACTTATGATAGTCCACATTGCAGTCGTCAAGTTTTTTTCCACATAATTTCAAAGAATTCAAAACCCATCCTTTACTTCCTCCACAATGCACAATGATTAGTCGCGATCCTTTATTTGCAGGCATGTTAGGCGTACACATTCTCAAACCATCAGTCCACCTTTTCGTAACTGTGTCGTGAATGTCATAGCAAGTTTCGTCCAAATAGAAAATTTGTCGTTGTTCTTGTGTATATTTAGTTATTTTTTCTAAGTATACAATTACATAATTCCACTATTCTTCTGATTTCCATAACTGCTTGACGTTTGTTTATCATTTTTAACGTGAATCCTGGTTTCTTTATCAAATTCTGAAAAGTTTTGTCACAGCAGCTCAATTACTTCCTTATGATTTCAGTTGTAGGAATCTTATTGCTTTTGTAACAGTCGTTTATTGTTTTTATCAATGATTTTATTAGATGAACATCTAAAGATTTTGGTAACCCTGTATGACATTGCGTCTTGCGTCCATAAGGTTTGTTTTTAACTATTTTACGTACATTTGAGAAAGGAATTTCGGTCAAATCTGATGTTGCTTGTAATAGTTTGTTTCCCTCGAAACCAATCTTGAGATGTAGATTTTTATATACATTGAAACATAATCTCTGTTTTTCGATATTCAAATGCATCCGAATGTTATTCACTGGTATTTCTTTTTCGCATTGCTCACCATCGCTATTGAAATCACTTCACTGGAAAAAGTCTGCGTCGTTATCACACTTGTTATTACTATTAATACTTGTCCGAGGACGCCACATTTCAAACAGATAACAAACATTTTCAGTAATTATAACTGCACCAATATCGAGTTTCAACACTCAAATCGAGATCAGTTCCTAAACACGACGCCGATAACCATCTCCGCATTCCCGATTTCTCTTCGTCACCGAAACATGACTTCAAATTTAATTTTATGTCTCTTCAGTCTATCATAAAACTCGGTTATTGAGAAGCATCCAATACGAACCGCCAAGTCTACAGTCCACATTTACTATTTTGCTGCCGGTTCATTTCTATGTATTGGTTTTTTTGGCCTTCGATAGTGCACAATATCGTTTACTTCGACTATAACAACTGATGAATTGCATGTGATGGTTTATATGAGCAAAACCTGCCAGTGTAGACAAAGAATTCTAAAATAACTCACCTGCAAAGAGCAAGAGTTTGGCACATTTATTTCTTCCTTGTAGGGCAGCCTTCATTAGCGGAGTGAACCCCAAATTGTTTCTGGCGTCTATTTCTATTCCCCGACAGCGACTTAACATGCAATTCAGACATTCAATCTGACCTGGAACAAACGACAGTTTTTAATAGAGTAATGATTTCAAACGAGTATGAACAAGTTTAATTATTCAATTATTACGGTTATTTATAGACAACTAGAGCGGACGTGCTCATCATTATGTTTCACCATATTTATAAATGAAACATCATTTATATTGAAATATGTGTATTTGATGGGATGAATAAATGATATATCGTTTTTGAAAAATATTGGATTTCGATTATAGTGACGATCGAATGCTTTATTTATTATAAATGCACCTAACTGCAAAACTAATCAGCTTCCAATAAATTTCCTAGTCAAAATACAATAGTTCACCACTTCGTAGATACCTCATATTGATTTCAAATTGTTTGAATTTTGATTTGACTGACACTTTCACAAAAATGTACTTTATCCAATCCTTCTCTTGAGTCAGGGAACTGGAATAAGTTCTATTCAGGTCGAGAAAATCAGTGGTATTTTTGGCTCAACCACCTCCATTTCGAATAATATAAAAAAGGATCGTTCCCAGCAAGTGGCCATCGATGAATATCTCGAATAATTTTATCGTTAACGCTGGTGTTCCCCAGGGATCCATATTGCGCCCAACCCTCTTTTTATCGTATACCAATGACTCATTTGAAGAAAACAAGAATCCAAATAATATTTCCGAATCCATTTTGAAATTAGCTCCTGGCATAAGGATTTTGGAAAAGTCTAAATGGAGTCTTCTGGGTGCTCCTCTCTCTAAAGATCCACTTTCAGAACATCTTCGAGAAAAACGGAAATGACCCAAATTGCTGACCACCAGATTGAATGAACTTCCAAAACACATTGCATTCTTTCTTTTGAAAAATTGTTTGACGATTCCAAAACTCATGTACGCCCTCAGATGTTCCCCCACTTGGTCAAGTCAGTTAGAGCTTGACGAATTTGATAATTTACCTCACCACACGACGGAAAATGTTACAAACAATCATTTCAATAATGATTCATGGCTCCAAGCAACTCTTCCTGTAAACCTTGGCGGATTAGGGCTACGTTCGGCTTCTTCCTTAGCTTTACCAGGTTTTCTCTCATCAGTCAATAGTGTTTCCGATATTATCGATTCCATTCTTCCTTCCATATTTATCAGTATCAAAGACGTTTTTTATTCTGAAGGTGAATCACTTTGGCATGCTGCAACTAATATTGCTCCTCCTACAGATAAAAAGAAAATACAAAGTGTATGGGACCGACCTCTCCTGAACATTATAACTGATAAACTTCTGAAATCTACAAGTGTATACGATAAGGCTCGTCTGAAAGGAGCAATGATCAAGGAATCGGGTGCTTGGCTGAATGCTTTACCTGTTGCATCTCTTGGAACACTATTAGACGATGGATCTTTCAGAATAGCAGTAGGATGGGTTCATCCATTTGTGTTTCTCATACTTGTGTTTGCGGTAGTATAGTTGATGAGAAAGGTACACATGGTTTGAGTTGCAGGAGAAGTGCATGCTGAAAAAGCAAATGCGCCACTGGAATCAATGAAGTCGCCCCGGAGCGCCAATTAATTTTTATTGTTGTATTTATTTTATTTTGATCGTTGTTTCAATAAAATTACATAAAACCAAAAAAAAAAAGAATCTAATATATTGCTTTGGTGATGACAGCACACTTGTCTCGTCATTCCATTTGGATTCCAGGACATCAGCTGCGGATGACCATCTTCATCAGTAGCAGGAGGATCTAGAGGTGATTTCGAATGGGGGTGGAAGTAACCAGGTTCAAATCAATGCCACATTAATATGTCTTGTCCATGTCGCTAGAATTGCAAAGGCTGTTTCTCAAAAGCTTGGACCACTGTTCCGAACCATAAAACTGTATACACCTCAGCAACTTTTGGTGCTTTATAAAGCTCAGATCAGACCTCTTTTGGAGTATTGTTCTCATGTATGGAGCTCCGCCCCTAAGCATATCCTGAAGCTGCCAGATTCCATCCAGAAAAAAGCCATCTGCCTGATTGGAGACACGAATGTCACTTGCAACCTTGATAGTCTGGAACATCGAAGAGAGGTTGGAGATTTGTCACTCTTTTATAGATACTTCTATGAGCGGTGTTCAAGTGACTTCGCATTTTTTATTTCACCAAGAGAAATACGCAATGGCTGCTCATTGTTTTGAGGCTCAGCTCAGTACACCTTGAACTCCACCACGAACTCTTTCATCTGGAGAACTTCGTTTATGGGGAACGTTTTTCCAAATTCTCCAGCGGTTGAAATCCTACGTGAATCGCTACTTTTGCACAGAGTGCCTTAAGAATTTTCCTGTAATGCTTGTGTTCTGTCAGAAAAAAGGAACTATCAATCTGATATAAACCGATTTCTGGTTCTTACTGTGAAAAAAGCAATATTCATTCACTGAAATTATTCATATTTCCTTTTTTTTAAGTTAGTTTCGAAAACATCAGGTCAATTGACTCAAACCCAGAATTACTAGACAATTTCCTCCATCAATTTATCCGATCGAATTATTTCCTAGTATACCGAGCTGAGAATTGGGATTCCATTTATTGACTATCCTAAAAAGTCATTTGCAGCAACTTCTCGTTGACCTATATTCTACATGAGACAAAATTGTTGGGGAAATTAACAAACGGAAGTTTCTTCATTTTCATTTTTCCAGTTTTGAGTGTTTCAGTTAATAAAGTGGTTAAAAGCGGACATCTGCCAACCACTGACAAATGAACTATCGTTAAAAAAAGGCCTTTGATATTATTTTCAGGCATTCAATTATAAGTTATAATATTTCATACAACTGAAACATTTCTGGCGAAATAATTAGGACGGTGTAATTTTGACTAATTGAATAAATTCATATTGAAAGTGGAAGGAGATAAATAATCAGGACTAATTATGAAAAACTAATTTGTCGATGAAATTAAAAAAAAAACTGGAAGCGACGCAATTTCCATCATCATCCAATTGAAATTCCATGGCTCATTAAGTATACGTCAACATCGTTAGGGTATTGATGTTTGGGATGAAATTTTCAGAGGATGTGTTAAAAAATGAAATTTAGTCACGTAAATAAAAGTGGCGCCATATCATTCGCTTGACTTGAATACAATTTTCAGAGGCTATCATACCCAGTTGTAACAAAAAATAATGTATATTGTTTAGAGTCATCTGCGAATATCGATTCAAATAAACAGTATGTAATTTTAGCTGATCGCACTGTGACTATCTCGAAAACGGTAAGACCTACAAGATCCTTCAGATCGGACAAGGGCTTCCTGTTCGCCATGTTCGCCAAAAATGGGAATTGTCAAATTTCGTTTTTTGGTTCTTTCGCCTCCATTTCGAATTATATAAAAAAAAAAGGCGAAGGAACCATTATACTGATGTTTATTTGTCTTTTTCATCTTTGTTGATTAATTTATTTTAAAAGTCTTAAAAAACTCATTTTTCAACGTAGATTTTTTGAATCAAATTCAAAATCGATATTTCTGGATGAAACACGATAAAAACTCTTAAAAAACAGGTGTCACAAAATTTTGTAAGGTTTTTTTTTGAAATTCAACACTGTTATTCGATATATATGAAATAGACGTGTTCCAAATGTTTGTCAAACAAAATAATTGGGCTAATGAAATGGATTCACTCAGACAACTACGAAACGTGTACATGTAATTTTTGAAGGTTAGGTTTAACAAGGAATCATATATATTCAATTCTAACAGCGACTATTGTGTATTTCAGCTCATCTAAATTACTGGAATATAATGGTTTTGTGCTTTGTAATTTCCATTGAGATTTTAATGAAATCAAAGGAAACTAAATCAACTAAACCAACATCAGCAGTTTTTCATGTAACTAAAGCTTTCATCGATTGAAAAAAATTAGCAAAAATCATCAAGTATTCTATTCAGTCTGGATTCCAACACCCGTGAATAGTTTTTTTGTTGGTCCAGCCGCTCTATTACGAAAGCCACAAAAACAGACCAGATTGAGCTTTCGAAATTTCCCCTCCATTAAACCGAATCTTCTCCTTTATATATTTATTCAAACCAAATGGAGCTGAAGCCCCGCTGATAGCCAATTCAGCAGAAAGAATGAATCGGCAGAAAATCGAAACTATTTACAGATTGATTGGCTTTTTATCGGAAGATGAAATAAAGACGCCACTCACCAGCTTGGGCGGCGAAATGTAAGGGAGTATTTCCTTCATTGTCTGGTTTATTCGGGTCTAATCCTGGCAACTGCAATATTTGTTCTAGGAGGTCGATTGTTCCATTTGAAGCGATGTAGCTGAACGTAGTCTGAAACGAAAAAACAACGGTCACGTATGTTGGAAAACGAAAATATTCAACGGGGACGTGGCCATAAATGTTGTCAATTGAGTTGAAATTGGTTTTTTTCACTACAAACCTGATAATGAATATCATTATTTCAAATACTTTATCGGGAGGATCTGCTGAAAACAATTTTGTCCACAATCTGTTTAGCTGGTGGTATATTTTATTCTTTTCTCAGTATGAAATAAACATTACATCATTATTATGCAAAATGGTGTCAGAGGTGGGATAACCTAAACATTCTAGGTTGGAATTAAAAAATATAGAAAAGTGTTGGGGATTGAATGGAACTATCACATTAACTTCGAATAATAATAATAATAAATCGTTTTCATTTCCTTCCTGATGTAACATTTGCGAAATTTAGCCTGAGGCTATTCTTGTACTTAACCTAAGTTGTACACTTGAATGGTAATGTATTACAAAAGCATTCTTATTGCAACAGAACTTATGTTTTTTTTTTCTGATTGATTCGGCCGTTACTTGATAAAGATCTATAGTAATTTCATAAACTACAAACTAGCAGTAGCATGTAGCATAATGAACATAGTAGTCAATGTTCCTCTATCAACAGATAATTTCAATAAAGAACTCAATATCATCAAGCAAATTGCAGTAAACAATGGGTTCAAAGCCGAAATAATTAACAGAATATTTTCCAAAAAAGTCTACGCAAAAGCGATTCAAGACGTTTTTCCTATTGATTAGTTAGATAATCAAAATCAAAATTATAGAGCTTCAACGTATTTTGGACAAACAGCGGAAAAAGTGGCTTCATTTTTGCGAGAACGAGATATTGAAATTGCATATAGAACAAATTATACGTTGGAAAAGTTAGTTAAAAATAATAAAGACGAAATATCCAAATTTTAGAAATCAAGAGTATATAAATTGAAATGTGGAACGTGCCCTAAGGCAAGGTATATATTGGTCAAACCAGCAGAACTTTTAGAAATCGAATCCAGGACCATCATATTCCATAATTCATCCTGGCTGTTAATGGAAATTGATTTTCAAATCGTGTTCAAACTGATATCCGGATAAATGAAGCCAATTGATGGGGAATGATCCGTGCATTTTGACATCTAAATAGGTGGAAGATTTCTGAAACAGGGCTAAAGAATGAGGTGATACATGCAAATGATATTTGTTTCTTACATCTAATGAATGAAGAATCAACCTAAGTATTACGAGTATTTCGTAGTTTTCTGTATAGAGTCGAAGAAATTTTGCATTTGATTATTTTATGCAGTAATGAACAAAAATTATACTGTCTGCGGTTAGACATAGTCAACCATTTCAATTCAGAGATCTTATTCGAGACATGGTCGCAATTTTTAAGTGAAAATATAAATTGACAACATAAATTATGTACTTTCTGAATGCGATTTTGCTCATAATGATCAACTGATGATCAATTGAGTAGTTTAAATTTGGAAATGTTGAAATACAAGGTAATTCTTCTCGACCCAAACCTCGTGTTCAAAATATGTTGTTCAAAATATGTTTTCTCAGAAGTCTAAACTTGTACTAGCTGAGGACTAACAAGGTCTTACCTTTCAACGTGTGATTCCTAACACGAATTTGATTGAATAAATATTTGATATGTAAATCCGGTCCACTTTGACAAGGTCATATTAACAGGTGAACACAGATGGTTCATATTTTCACAATTTATATTTTCAATGCAGAGCTCAATTTCGAAATGAATTCATCTCAATAGAGTAATAACAAAAGAGGTTAAAGTAAGAGCATTGCTTATTTCAAGGTAATTCATGCATTCATTGAATATCAAAACGAAGCTGTCAGTTATAGAATTTTCCGTCCACCCTTTTCGTGTTTCTGTCGGCGAGGCGTGAATTAATAGATAAACTAGAAACAAAACAATCGACTAACCGTGACCCTATTATGACGCAGAATTTACATGCCACTGAGAATGCAGGTTGTCAGCTATAACCTATATTAACTTTTTCTGGCTTGAATATTAATGAACTGCGACCTCTAAACTTCCATGTAGAAATACTCCCTTAAAACGAGTCGACAAACAGCATCTGCTGACACACCCTGTTTTCTTTCGACTGAAATTTATTTATCATTGTTTCTCATAGTATGGGCTGGTGTTAACTTATTTGGTACTGAAAAGCCTTAGGACAAGTGTCTTACGGCGAAATATCGATGTATACCTGTGAGGATGACAGTGTTCCATGTGATTTGTCACACTAATTTATTATCTACAAAGAAATATTAGATATTCCAGTAATGAGCTTTTCTCTGAAAATTACATTCTTGATGCAAGGCAAAGTTTCTGCTAACGAATAGTGACTTTCATCCACAACAATAAAACAAATCAAATATCTATTCAACCACAAGTATGATACTAGAACGGAAAGAAATCATGTGAATGTAACAACTCGTGGTAAAAGTATTGAACAACGTTCTACGGAGTTCCTAGCTCCTAAAATATTCAACATTATGCTTAATTTTTTGAAAATCAAATAGATACACAGTACTGGCAGAAAAACCTTTGAAGACCTCTTAAACTTGAAATTTTTGCAACAGGCAAGATAATGATAAAGCTAGCTATTTCGAATATGACCATTCATCTGTCATAGTCAGGTCCTGAATATGACTTACAAGTAAAAATGTTACCAATCAACAAATTATGATTACCTACTGAAACTCTTACCGTTTACCTGTTAATGACCACTGACTCAGTCCATTACTTCCTATACTAGACTACCATTATGAATATTTCAGTATTTCAGCTGTTAACCATATTGTAATTTTTATTTTGTATACATATGCATGTTTAAAATCATTTCACACGTTAATGAGTTTTCAATAATAAAATATCGATGCATTGTGTTGTTTATCCACGGTCCCGCACAAGCTTTATAGCTTCAGTGTTGTACTTGGCGCCACATTCCTTTTCAGCGAGCATTCTCTTGAGGTCTGAGAGCAGGACAAAGTCTCTGGGGGTCAGGTCCGGAGAATACGATGGATGCGGAAACAATTCTTAGCCAAATTCTAGCAATCCACCATCGTTTTCAATAATTTCTGACACGGTACATTCTCTTGATGGAAGTACACTTATTTTTTCTACAAATGATGCCGTTTTTCCGCGATTTCATTCTTCAGTCGCTCCAATAATGATATGTAATTGCATTATTGGAGTCTTTGCACGCTTTGGAGTCGGTTAACCACGTGCAATCACTCAGACAACTATGAAACGTGTACATGTAATTTTTGAAGGTTAGGTTTAACAAGGAATCATATATATTCAATTCTAACAGCGACTATTGTGTTCAGACCTCTTTTGGAGTATTGTTCTCATGTATGGAGCTCCGCCCCTAAGCATATCCTGAAGCTGCCAGATTCCATCCAGAAAAAAGCCATCTGCCTGATTGGAGACACGAATGTCACTTGCAACCTTGATAGTCTGGAACATCGAAGAGAGGTTGGAGATTTGTCACTCTTTTATAGATACTTCTATGAGCGGTGTTCAAGTGACTTCGCATTTTTTATTTCACCAAGAGAAATACGCAATGGACTTTGGCTGCTCATTGTTTTGAGGCTCAGCTCAGTACACCTTGAACTCCACCACGAACTCTTTCATCTGGAGAACTTCGTTTATGGGGAACGTTTTTCTCCTAAGGCAAGGTATATATTGGTCAAACCAGCAGAACTTTTAGAAATCGAATCCAGGACCATCATATTCCATAATTCATCCTGGCTGTTAATGGAAATTGATTTTCAAATCGTGTTCAAACTGATATCCGGATAAATGAAGCCAATTGATGGGGAATGATCCGTGCATTTTGACATCTAAATAGGTGGAAGATTTCTGAAACAGGGCTAAAGAATGAGGTGATACATGCAAATGATATTTGTTTCTTACATCTAATGAATGAAGAATCAACCTAAATATTACGAGTATTTCGTAGTTTTCTGTATAGAGTCGAAGAAATTTTGCATTTCATTATTTTATGCAGTAATGAACAAAAATTATACTGTCTGCGGTTAGACATAGTCAACCATTTCAATTCAGAGATCTTATTCGAGACATGGTCGCAATTTTTAAGTGAAAATATAAATTGAAAACATAAATTATGTACTTTCTGAATGCGATTTTGCTCATAATGATCAACTGATGATCAATTGAGTAGTTTAAATTTGGAAATGTTGAAATACAAGGTAATTCTTCTCGACCCAAACCTCGTGTTCAAAATATGTTGTTCAAAATATGTTTTCTCAGAAGTCTAAACTTGTACTAGCTGAGGACTAACAAGGTCTTACCTTTCAACGTGTGATTCCTAACACGAATTTGATTGAATAAATATTTGATATGTAAATCCGGTCCACTTTGACAAGGTCATATTAACAGGTGAACAAAGATGGTTCATATTTTCACAATTTATATTTTCAATGCAGAGCTCAATTTCGAAATGAATTCATCTCAATAGAGTAATAACAAAAGAGGTTAAAGTAAGAGCATTGCTTATTTCAAGGTAATTCATGCATTCATTGAATATCAAAACGAAGCTGTCAGTTATAGAATTTTCCGTCCACCCTTTTCGTGTTTCTGTCTGCGAGGCGTGAATTAATAGATAAACTAGAAACAAAACAATCGACTAACCGTGACCCTATTATGACGCAGAATTTACATGCCACTGAGAATGCAGGTTTCAATTTTTCGAATTATAATTCACTTGGTAATGGTAAAGATATGAGTGTAGATTGTTTTGCAAAACTCCCTAATTGAAAGATTTTCAGATGTGATTTTTTTCAGTTGTTGACAATTGACACCTTCATGAGTTCAAACATGAAATCGACCAAAAAATATTTTCAAAAACTTTTTGTCATTTGCAACTTTTGATTTTGACAAATTGAATACCTATTTTAGAAATGGCCTGTATTTTTAAAAATCGATTCTAATGAAGTGTACAACTGAAATAATACAAGAG